AAGCTACCGCCTCGTCGGCCGAGGCAGCCTTCTGCTCCAGCTCCTTCAAGCGAGCTATCTCTCGGTATTGCCTCTTGTGGCTCTCCATTAGCATGAAGGCACTCTGCAGAAACAAGGGAAACAAAAGTCAGGCAAATGGTTTTACACAGACGACGAGAAAGACAACGCATAAGGAAGGTAACTTACTTGGACGAGGAGGTCCATGCCGCCCTCGTAGATATTCACGTCCCCGAGCTTCCTCAGGTAAGCCCGATCCTTGGCCGGCATGGCCTGTGCCAGGACGTCGTGCCCAAGGACGACGTCATCGAAGACACCCCCGCCGACGGGGTATTCTACCATCTTCTGGTAGGTGGCACCTGCAATCTCTTTGCCGGCCCTCTTCGTCCGTGGCTCCTGGACGAGAGGCAGTGATGGAGCAGCATCACCAGCAGCAGTAAGGTCCACGACAGGACCACTATCGTCCACGCTGGGGACAGCCACAGTACCGGCCTCAGTAGCCGGAGAAGGGGAAGGAGCCCTCTTCGTCTTCTTCGAGACGCTCAGGCCGGCCTCAGTTAACTTTTTCTGGCCGTCAGTGGCCGGCCTTTTCTTCTTCGATGGAGCAGGCTTTGGGGCCGCATCAGCAGTAGCCCCGCTCCCACCGGCCGCGGCACATCTGGCCGCCTCGACCGCCTTAGCAGCCAGCTCCTCGGCCGCTTTGGCCTTGGCAATAGCCATTATGGAACGTCGGTCCATGGCAAAATCTACAAAGGAAAAACACAACGGATTAGTAAGGCAAAGGACAAAAACATAAAAACAGAAAGCCGAAGAAATAATTACCATCGGCCTCAGCAGGGATGCCCAAATCCGGGCCGTCGGCCTCTTCAAATGTGGTGGTCATCCTCGGCCAGAGTTGGAGGTCATCCTCCTTATCTCCATACAGGTGGTATCTGAAGAAGCCGAGGGCGGTCATCTTGTATTCAGTAACGTAATCCTTCACGCTCCTCGGCCCCCCTTCCAGGAAAGCCTCCACCTGAGCGTCCAAGATAGAGCTCTTCGACGGGTCATGGAGATTGAACCTCCCGGTATGGCCGAGAGAGGGGAACTCGGTGCCACTCTCACCAATGGACACAAACACGAACTTGCTCTTCCACCCATGAATGGACGTAGGCAAATCCGTGAAGCTCCTCTTCTTCGGCAGCTGTTGAAGAGTAGCATAGGCCGCACAGTTCTTGTGGCTTCCTCGGCCGATCTGGTACAAATTCATGAATAAGGCCGTTGTCGGCCTGTAGCCCAACTCCTCACACCGAAGTAAAAAGCCCACCATCAAGGAATAACTGTTCGGCGTCAGCAAGGCCGGAGGAAGCCCCACCATGTCCAGATACTCAATGATGAAAGGGTGAAGGGGGAACCTCAACCCCTTAGCAAAACTCATCGGGTATACTCCAAAGTATCCCGGTGGCGGAAGTAGGACATGGTCCGTCGGCCTGGGTGCCCTAACCCGCCCGAACGGCCCCACGTACATCTGGGCGAAAAGATAGTCGGCCGCACTGCTCTCCGGCTTGATCAGGAATATGTTGGTGAGGTCCAGATAGGAGAGGCCCGGCCCATTCTTCGGCCTCCTCACCCTCTTCGGCTTAGCTGCTCCCTTCACGGCAGACACCGGCCTCGGGCACGGAATGACAGCAGAAGTGGACGCCCCGTCCACCACTCGGGACGCACCTACGTCCTCACCCTTTGAAGAGGAGGCGGACTCCTCGTCCTCGCCTTCCTCGTCCATCGGCTCTCCGGATTTGTAGGGACTTAAACGCTCTATCTCCTCTTCAAACTCCTCGAGCACCTCGTAGTCAAGCGACCTCGTGGAGGGCTGGTCGTCGTAGGAGTAGTAGTCTTCGTTCAAGATCTTCATAACTACTACTACGGGCCTAAGGAGACTAACATAAGATCTAAGGGTGTTCAAACGCCTAACACTAGATCAACAACCTAGGAAGCAAAGTATGAAAAGTGAGGAAGATCGCGATGAACACTAACCTTGAACAACGAAGAACGCGAAGAACAGGCTTGGGAGTTTATCTCTCTAGAAAATCGGCCAGCACTTCGACAAATTCAGAATGCAAATACGTTTTCTCGTCGGAGGGGGAGGGGTATTTATAGAACCCCCCACCCAACGGTCACTACACGTGGCACCCCCCCCAATGGCCACACCAACGGCCACCAATGGGGGGCCACCACGTCACCACGGGCCAAACTCAATATCAAAAGCCCACTGGCAGGACGGACTGTACGGCCTACACACGCTCACTGGCTTTACAAAATGTCAGCAAGCGCCCACAACGTCCCACTTGCTCGCCAAGATCACAACTGCCAAACAATAAGGAGACGGCAACGGCCAGGAACGTAACGGCCACAAGATCACAGGACCCAAGAGCCCACAGGCCATTGGCTCCTCGTCATGATCTTTGATGATAACTCTCTACAAGCGATCTGCGCACAAGGGTTCTCCCACAAGGTTACCTTGGCCAGAAAATCGCCATGAGAGTTGGATTCAGGGGGACTACGGGGAGGCCGCTTCGGCCAGGGACTCAAGCAACTCCTTCACCCCTCACACTCCTCGGCCTGAAGCAGTGGGGGACTGGGGGACTACACCGGCCTCAACAAAACGAAAGAAAATGCAAACAAGGTAACCACAGAGCATGGCCACACCGGCCACGCATCACACTGCACCTCGTCGACCGAAGGCACACAACGTCATCTGCAACGGCCAACGGGCCACCAAAGGCAAGGACACTCATCGTCCTCCGCCATCACTTAATCACGAGGGGCTCTTCGGCCAGAAACATGAAAGCTAATCAACGACGGCCAAAAGGAGTGCGCAAACACCCTCATCGGCCATCCAAAGGGAAAGACGCCATCGTCCTCGAAGCAAGGACCAACTTCAGTGGCCTCATCGGCCCAAACACAAACTTCAACCATCAGCGCCCAAGCAAAACATGCCTTCAACGGCCACCATTGAAAGAAGGACACTCATCGTCCCAAAACGAAGACATCAAGTAAACAACGGCCTCCCTGTCCACAACGAGGAACAGGTAACGGCCAAGGACAAAAAAGCACAGGAATCTACTCTCCTTCACTTCGTCTACGTCTCAGCTTAGAGAGTGGGGGACTCCTGATGGAGTATATGGGTCTGAGCCCCCGGACCCACATACTCGGAAGAACAGAAAGCACAAGACAACAGAGTGGCGCCCTCGTCGGCCAAGACGCCCCCGTCGGCCGAAAAGGGGCCAACTCGGATTATGGTCCTGAGTCCAAGGAACCCGGGTGCCCTCGTCGGCCATGCCCTCGTCGGCCGTGCCCTCGTCGGCCAAGAAGACCTCCCAGAATAAGATTTTATACTTACTCATTTGTACAGCCCATTAGTGGCTTTGTATTCGGCCCAGTAGCGGTCCAGTTGTAAATGGGCCTCCCAAGCCCAAGACTTGGGAGCCCAGCCCTAATTTTCTCTATAAATACTCCCTTTGGGAGTAGTTATAGGGGTTACCAAATCATTCTATTGAAGCATATTATTGCACTTCTCTCTCTAGCTCTCACTTCTCTCTAGATATACTCTATCAACTATATAAGTGATACTGATCAAGATAGTAAGATACCCTAAAACTAATGCTCATTTTGGCCGTAAATACATAGTGACAATGTGTGTATTGGGCTTGGTACGAAAAGCACAATATTTATTACTATTATTATTAATATTATTATATCATTATCATACTACCTCTGTCCCATAAGACTTTGCCAAAGTTGAGTGCCACAGAAAATAATAAAGTAAAAACTGTGTGGTTAAAATTTGTGCAGAGGAGAGAGAAATAACAGAAACCACAAAATAATTGATTAAAAGGGAAAGTGACAAAGTTTTTTGGGACGTCCCAAAAAGGACGGAGGGAGTATATAATACTCCCTCCGTTCCTATTTAAACTTTCAACTTTCTTTTTTCGTCCGTTCCAATTAAAACTTCCACTTTCCCTTTTTAGTAAAAAATTTGTGGTTCACAACATTTCTTACACATTTCTCTCTCCTCTGCACAATTCTCCACCACACAATATCCACTATCTTAAATTGTGTGTCAAATTTATTTGGAAGATAAAATAGGAACAGAGCTAGTACTACTCCCTCCGTCCCTAAATTATCTTCAAACTTTCCTTTTTCGTCCGTCCCAAAATTATCTCCTCTTCCCCCTTTTAGCAAAAAATTTGTGGTTCACAACCATTCTTACACATTCTTACACATTTCTCTCTCCTCTGCACAACTCTCCACCACACAAATCCCACTATCTTAATAAATGTGCCCAGCCGAAAAGGGAGAAAGATTAGGGACGGAGGGAGTACATATGATTTTATACTCCTAGTAATCCAAGAGACCTTTTATGACTTAATTTCTAGTTTATTCTACGAGTTTTTTGTGCGAGAGAAAGCGACGCAAAATGTGGAGCTATATGTGTGTACAAGAACCGATACTTTATTAGATAAAAATACAAATTTTCTATGAGAGACCTTGATTTTTTTTGAAAAGTGGAGATATATTTTGCTTTTAAATTTGTACACTTTGTTTTATAGTTCATTGTTTTATACTCCCTCCGTCCCTAAATTATCTTCAAACTTTCCTTTTTCGTCCGTCCCAAAATTATTTCCTCTTCCCCCTTTTAGCAAAAAATTTGTGGTTCACAACCATTCTTACACATTCTTACACATTTCTCTCTCCTCTGCACAACTCTCCACCACACAAATCTCACTATCTTAATAAATGTGCCCAGCCGAAAAGGGAGAAAGATTAGGGACGGAGGGAGTAGTTCATATTTTCGTACTCCCTCCGTCCCTAAATTATCTTCAAACTTTCCTTTTTCGTCCGTTCCAAAATTATCTCCTTTTCCCCCTTTTAGCAAAAAATTTGTGGTTCACAATCATTCTTACACATTCTTACACATTTCTCTCTCCTCTGCACAACTCTCCACCACATAAATCTCACTACTATGTTAATAAATGTGTCCGGCCGAAAAGGGAGAAAGATTAGGGAGCTAGGTAGTATAATTTTCACATCGTCAGACCCGTTCTGGGTCTAGATCCAAATTTTCAGGCCACTTCTCCATCTCACGTCGCTTCTGCCGCCGCAGGTGAGTTACCCCTTTCTCTTCTTCTTCTACCCGTCGTTTTCCTTATTCTCTTCCACCCTCTTTGAATCGCGCGGTGGCGGCCGTCAAACCCAGCAGCGGAATCGGCGATTGGGGAGAGGCTGAACGGGGTCTGTTGGGGCTAGTGAGAGTCGCAGAAGGGGCAGGGGCTGGGGCGAGAAAGGGTGGTGGTTTTAGGGCAAGGGCGTGTCGCGGGCCGTAGTCCATAGAGGTGCAGCGCTGGGGCTAGGGCGAGTAGCAGAGGGGCGGCGCTAGTGCGGGGACGATTCGCCTGTGGCGTGGGGGCTGGGCGGCGCTGGGGCGGGGGTAGCTAGGTCGTGGCGGGGGGATGGGGCTGGGGAGCTGTGGATGGGCCGATGGGAGCAGGGAAGGGGGCTACGATTAAGGAGCTGGGCAGCGGTTTCATTGAACGGAAATGTACAATTTCGCCAGAAATTTTTCTATTTTGCAATGATAATATATTTTTCTAAACATATGACCGGTTTTTTTAATCACATTTTTGTAGATATTTAAATTTAGTGACAATTTTTTAAATTGACTAAATTTTGGTAATATTTAGGGGAACATCTCTTTTTCTCCTTGCTTTGTATAATTGTATACATTGCATATATATGGAGTAGTATAGATGAGCTATTTAGCAATATGTTACAGGTATACAATACATCTCAACTGCCGGCTTCCATCTAGTAGAGCATATCAGCAGAGCAGGCCACTCTGCCGCCACGTCTCAAGCAGCGACCAATAGCCGCAGCCTTGTCATCTCCCCCGCTTGACTTGGCTCCTCATTGCCGCTTCCTCGACTCCACTTTGCTTCACCGCTGCTCTGCTCGCTTCGCCAGCTCCTACAGGTCAGAAAACTGCATTTCTCTATTGTTATCAATTTATTATTTACGGTTTATTATCTTGCTCGGCATTGCACGCACGGAATATCTGTAAGTAATCTGTTATGTACTACTATAATTAAGTCATTGATAATAATTGTGATGTTACAGGTATACTCCCTCCGTCTCACAATTAAGTTCTCAGTTGCACTTTTTGGGGTCAAACTTTACAAACTTTGACCTTTAATTACTCATAATTTACATTACTTTATCATACAAAATTAATCTTATATACTTAATACTTCATTGGAATATAAATTATTCAAATATAAATTTATATTAGATTTTAAAAGTATAGTTTTTTAGATATTAAGGGTCAAACGTCCACCTAGAAGACTGTAAAAGTCAAACTGAGAACTTAATTGGGGGACATAGGGAGTATTATTTTTAGTATTTGATAATTAAATTGTCATTTAAGAGTTTTAATTGTTTTGTAAAATAAAAATGATAACCTTTATATGGGACGTTCAAAAATGGAAAGCAAGAACGTTAGAATGGGAGATTAGTTCTTTTGAATTATTAATGTGAATTATTAATGAGCAACAACTGTTTGATAAAATGCCTATTAGAAATATTTGATTAGTTTATAAAAAGCATCCTTATTTCATTCATGGCATCCACTTTACATTGAAATGGTAGTAATTATGGAGTATAATTTTATATTTTGAATAATACTATGCGAGTAGTATATATTCACTAAGATAGAACCATATTTGGTTGAGTTTTAATTTTGTTGCACATGATACTTGGCCAATTTTAATGTTTGTAGAAGCTTATATTGAAAGGGTATTGGTATGTGCTTTGAACATTAGATGTAAACATTCTGATTTCATGGGAAAACTGTCAAATAAGTCGACATACTATTTCGGAAAAGTCGATTAAGTTTACTAACGGTTAAAAATCAGCCAATTAGGCTTTTTAGCCAGTGAGTGTTGCTGGTTAGTGCTTCAGTCTACTCTCTGTCAGTTTTGTTTTGTGTTTATTATCATCGTTGTACAATTAAGAATATATCTAATGCTTATGTGAGGTTGTCGATTGAGGAAGATGAAAATAGTGGATTGGTGTTCGAATCTAGCGCTTTGGATATAGGTGGTGGGGTAGGGGAAAACCCATGTTTTTTTTGCTGTTGCTAGGGTTGCCACGGATAAATATGTTAGAACTAACTCTTTTCGTGAGACCATGGCAGTGATATGGAGCCTAGAAGTAGGAGTGAGTATTGAACATATTGGGGATATGCACTTTTGATCCAATTTTATCATTAGACTGACATCTCTTTGGTGTTGCTAGATGGCCCGATCATGGTCTTTTGACTGAAGTTTATGAAGTTCTGACTGAAGTGACTGTATTAACTATTTCTGGTGATTATGAAAAATTATTCATTTTCATTTCATTTTCATTTACCCCAATGCCGCAAAGGCTCCCACCTACGGTGTGGTAAGGGGGGTCGGATGAAATAAAGAAGAAATTATATGAAAATATGAAAAAATAGATAAAATGGTCATCTACAACAACTTCAGTTAATACAGCCCGAAAAGTAATTTCAACTTTAATTTTCTTATTATTACACAATTCAGCGCGCAAAATCAAAAGTTACATGTTTGGTTAAAAAGTTGGTTGATAAGCCTGATAAGCCAAAAAACAGAATCACCAAACGGGCACTAAAATTTTATAAAGTTAATGTCCTCTATCAACTAAAAATAATGGGCATGCATATGAGAAATCAAATTTAAAAAGCCTACAATTGAAAATTTCGATCCAATTACTTTGCATTATTTTATTTGGATTTTTATTTAATATATATTCATTAGCTTTGTTTCTATTTTAATTTAATACAATTACCAATTTATTTGTGTAACTTTAAGGACTTTGTTATTGGATTGATTTTAGTCTTAGATCAAACCACATCAACCCAAATTATGCTATTATGGCTCAAGCGATTGAATCTGCTATATTAGGAAAGAATGATATTTAAATTATATGTTATAAGATATGAAAAAGTCATATGAAAAAGTGGCTAAGATGATGCTCTACGGTAACTTCAGTCATCTCGTCGAAAAAATGTTTTTGACTTGCTTACTTTAATTATTACAAATTCAGTGCGTGAATTCACGAATTACGCCAAATAATGCGATTATGGCTCAAGCGACTGAATCTGCTATATTAGGAAAGAATGATATTTAAATTATATGTTATAAGATATGAAAAAAGTCATATGAAAAAGTGGTTAAGATGATGCTCTACGGTAACTTCAATCACCTGGCCGAAAAAATGCTTTTAACTTGCTTATTTTAATTATTACAAATTCAGTGCGTGAATTCAAGAATTACGTGTTTCATGACGAAATAGTTTCTAAAACAGATAAGCTGAAATTGCTTTACAGTAGTATTTCTTATGAAAAAAATTGGGCTTATGTTGAGAAAATTAGATGCTTTATAGTAGTATTTCTTATGAAAAAAATGGGTGCATGATAACAACAGGTGCATGATAACAATAGGTTAAATAGGTGCGCCAGTTTGTTCCATAATTTTATTTTAAAAAAACTAGACGCCTGGGGGAGTCGATCCTCGGACCTCCGCACGTATAAACACTCAAGATCGGGCCTCCTACCACTGCTCTAGCTCCGTATTTGTGTTCTAAACTAGTTTCGATTTTATCAATACAATGATTACTTAATTTTATATAAAATATATACAAATATATATAGGTATTTTTTTGGAGGTCCATGGGGTCCCGGGACCCCGTGGGACCCTTAGTGGGTCCGCCACTGTTCCCGCTCTCAATCAAATTGTATCATGCAGAGTTATGAGTCCATATACACAACCTGCCTCTCAGATTTATTACAGAAAAAGTGGCAACATGTATTGGTGGTTACTCAAGATAACTGATTTAGATTGATGAAAAGACGCTTAAGAGAGCTAGTAAGGGGTATATTCACATTTGCATTTCCATTAATATCAAACATGCATTGATAAGAAGAACACACATTAAAGAGGAGGGTGACAGCTGGTTCTGGACGAGTGTATTTCAAATATGAGAGACTTCCCAATATTTGCTTCATCTGTGGGGTACTGGGTCATACTGATCGCTTTATTGTCCATCTAATATCGTGAATTGGGGAGATGCCTTATGGACCTTGGATGAGAGCAGATATGCAGTGTGGAGGGGTTCACGCGGGGAATAAATGGCTCATCCTGCGAGGGGGAGGGGTACGAGAGACCATGAGTGATAGAGGAAACTTTGAGAAGGATAAACAACTTATGGGGATACATGATAAGGAAGCTGAAACTGGGTTCTATTTAGTTCAAGGACTTATTTTAAAAGGAAAGGAGAAGATGAGTGCTGGTGAAGAACAAGACCATAGTAGAGCCCTGGAGCAGGGAGAATCTAGAAAAAGAAGAGTCGTGGATTTGTAGAACCTTGTGGAAGTTCAAGTGCAAATGGAGGTTGATGGGGATGAATAAAAAATGGCCAAGTGGCGGTGCTCCCGATACAGCACTGCCTGGAATACTAATGGATACTGTAATTGTGATGTCTCCTTTGGAGGTGGACAAACAAACCTCTTCTTCCTTCTCGGGTGGCTGGTAAACCAGGATGCTTAGTTCATCTTATTGTTTTTATTTAAAGAATTCTAGTTTATATATCCCTCATTTTAGTAGCAAGTTCAGTGATGTTGTTAGATTAGCATACATGATTACAAGATTAGTGAATATGATTGGCCCTTGGGGGTTGATCTATTCTATGTCTCGTCTCAGTGTAGCTTTGACCTATTGTATTGCTTCTTCCCTAATTACTCCTATCATTAATAAATAAGTTTTCTACTTTCAAAAAGAAACTAGATCCAAGTGTTAAAATTAAGTTCTCATTGTTTTTTTTTAAATCTTTCAATTATTTTTTCAAAAATTAGATTTGAAGTACCGAAGGCAAAAAAAATCCCTCTCCCTATTTCGTCTCCTCCTCTTCCTCCTTTGATCGAGAGTTAGCACAAGGAACCCCATTTCATTGGTAAGCTCTATTTTGCTCCATCTTCATCCATTTGGTAGAGTTTAGTTAGGTTAAAATAGGTGCTAATTCCGAAATTAGGAGGTGTTTATGTCCTCCAAAATTATTATTTCTCCTATTTGGTAATTCTTGAGAAATTTTAATATATACACACATATATGGGGTGGCTTTTGAACCATCCGGGATAACCAATTGGGGGCCTTGTATGCTTGCTAGTGTGTCAGATTACAAAAGCATTGCCTTCTACCTTTACTCCTGAGTGATTTGCCTTAATGGGTTGGTTGTTATTGTCCTTTGAAATCTAATCGATCCTTTTAGTGTCAAAAGCATCACTATCAACATTTGGGTGCAGTTCATTATTGAAGGGAGAGTTGTACACTTGTAGAGATGCATTTCAATCTTTGAACGCATGGGTATTGTTTACTCCAAACTAACACAGAGTAATGCTCTTTGCTTAGTGTTGGTTCACCCACATTAATGACAGTATTACAGTATATTTTATGACTCAACATTTTATTTTAAAAAATCAATAACTTAAATGATTGGGCTAATGGTTTCTAAGAAACACATGATTGAAACACAGACTTCTGTCTGAACTTTTGTGACAGTATTCTTCTTTTACACTTGGCTGAGACTTTTTGTTGAATAGTTTTATTTATATATCAACCTTGATAATTTTTTTCAATACTTGTAGTCTGTTTTATCTCAAATTGTATACAACTATTTAGATTGTTGCATGTCCGATCCACAGTTCCTCTCTTCAGGGAAATAAAAAAAATAAGATGAAGGCTTAGATTTAATATAATTCTGCATTTATCATCTTATTTTTCAAACACAAGTCTTTGTACCCAAGTAAAATGAGGGAAATGTAATAAATTAGAGTACCTAAGTTAGTGCATGGTATAACATTGAGATAATGGAAACATGGTTAATATTCATGTATGTCCCGTTAATTCCATTTTTTAAAAATAGATTTCTTTGATTTTTTGTACAACAATTTGATTTAAAGTCATTACATTCTCATATCCGCTTAGTCTTGCTTAAATTGATAAATTTGCTTGAATCACATTTTTTGTTGGGCATTGATCCATTGATCACTCAACGCACATCCCCATGCTAGTGTCTATATATACTGATTATACTCCCTTCATTCCATAAATTTTTCCCGGTTTGACTTGTATCGGGGTTGAAGAAATTGGGTATAAAGTAGAAATGTATGGTTGCGTAAGAAAAGGGTAAATTAGTCACGCAAAACTTTTCAAAATGGGAAATGGGAAGAATTTTTTGGGACATCTCAAAAAGGTAAACGGAAAGAATTTTATAGGACGGAGGGAGTACATATCAATATATGTATGTATGTATTTCGTTCTTCATTGTTTTCTCATTTATTAGGTGCAGAATAGAGTAATACCATTGCCAGAACAAGGTAGAAAGTGGCATCTGGAGTCTAATCTAACGTGAATGGATACCTTACATGTAACGGGACTTCCCATGAATCAGGAGGTCGTAAGGTCATGTGGGTCCGAGCCAAACAACGCCTCTGGTCTTGTTGCCCATGCAAAGAAGCTCCTACACAGAAGGATGTTGGTTGGTGTTAACGATGGTCGCTTCTTTTCTGGTTCATTCTATTGCATTGATAAGCAAGGAAACATCATTCTTCAAGATGCCGTTGAATACCGAAGCACCCGACACTCTTCTCCTTCCCCAATGGAACAACGAGGTTTGGGTCTCATTCTCGTACCCTTCTCTTGTCGGACTTCATGTCATGTTGATTGCTCTATTGAAGAACAACTGTCTCTCATGTCTTTCTATGAGCTTAATTCAAAGTCATGATGCGTATAACTTTTGAGATAAATCTTCATGTCAAACATTTTTCCTCATTTTATTTTAACCTATTTCCCATTATTATTGTGTGCGTGTGATTTCCCGCTCTAATGCTCAATGTTTACCCATACATTATTTGAATGTAAAAAATGTCATATTTGCTATGAATGTTTTCCTTCTGATGCCTTCTGCTAGCATCACAGATTCACAGATGGGATTGGATAACTCTAGGAAGGACAATCCTAGCCTCCTAGGGGAGTCAGAATATATAGACAGCTAAGGAAGGAGAAACAATATTTCGAGCCCATATGAGTATACGACTCGCTCATCCCTTTGTTATGGGTCTATATTTTCCTGATATAACTAATACTTTATTGAATGTACTTTATTACTTCAATGGTTAATGATGATGGCACATCAATGTACGTTGTTGGTGAGGCGTAAAATCCAAAATTAAAATATTTATTTAGCATGGACGAAATTTGAACAAGGAAAATTTTAGGTGTACACTTTTAATGTACACCCCTTTAATTTGCTTGTGTATGTACACCAAAAATTACCTTTCGAATAATCTTAAGCTATCTAGTACCAACCAATTTCCATCATTTGCAACGGAGCCAAAGATTCATTATTTTTTGGCTTGAGATTATGATGGAATAAAGCAAAATGACTCACTAAATTGTATGCGCTTCTTTGTTATGAAGCAATAGTCATTCCTTGCAATTTTGGATGGGATTTTCACTATGGGTCATTCGGAAACAGTCTCTATGTGCTTTAGTACAGGGGTAAGACTGCGTACATCCGACCCCCTTACCCCACCATAGGTGGGAGTAGGGATGGACTCGGGTTCGGGCCGGGTTCGGGCCGGGTCTGGGTCGGGCCTAGGTCCGGGCAGGCTGACGGTTCAAGAATAGTGGACCCGGGACCAGCCTGGGAAGCCACCGGGGGTCCGGGCCGGGCCGGGCCGGGCCTCCGGTTTGGATTTTTTTTTGCTTTACTAACCCACCCCCCACCCTCCCAAACCCCCCCAAAACCATCCTACCCATCAAGCCCAACCCGGGTGGAACCGCAAAAATGAAAAAAAAAAAATCAATTTGGCCCGGGCTCGGGACCGACCCGGCCGGGCCGGTTCACCAAAATTGAGACCCGAGCCCGGACCCGCCCTACCCCCCGGGTCTAGGTCCGACCCGGACCCGGACCCGAGAACCGGGCTGGTCCTGCACAGTAGCGGGCCGGTCCCGCACAGTAGCGGGTTGGGCCGTTCCACGGGCCGGGTGGCCCGACCCGAGTCCAACCATAGGTGGGAGCCTTTGCGGATGTGGGGTAAATGAAAATGAAAATGATCTAGTACCAACCATTTCTGACTTTATTCCTTATTTATCTTGATAACTTGGACTTTGACTTTTAGGAAGTAAGTAGGGGTGGACCGGTTCCGGTTCGGGCCTGACCGGGCCTCGGTTCATGAAAGGGGAGGCCCGGAACCGGCCCGGGTAACTCCGGGTCCGGGCCGAGCCTCGGTTCTTTTTTTTTGGCTTTTCCTAATTAACCCCCAGCCCTCCCCCCACCCCAAACCACCTCAAATGGCCCATCATACCCAACCCAACCCAAAACTTAAAAAAAAAATTCAAAAAAAAAGAAAGAAAAAAATAATAATTTGGCCCGGACCGGGTCTGAACTGGTTGGGCCGGTTCATGTTTTAGGAGGCCTGGGCTCGGCCAGCCTACCTCACCGGGCCGGGTGGCCCGAACCGGGCACCAACCGTTTCACTAGGCCGGTCCGGGCCCGCACAGTAGCGGGCCGGTCCGGTTCCAGGCCGGTTGGCCCGACCCGAGTCCACTCCTAGAAGTAAGTTGCTTTGCTAACAAGTAACAAATTAGTCTGGTGTGTCCTACCTGAAAGTTTATATTAAAAAATGGCACAAGTTTTTGGATAATAGTTAAATAAGATAATTTAAGTATAATTTTAGAAGTACATTAAGTGGATATAAAATAAATGGAAAAAGGTTCGTTGGATTAATGGCCCAACGGGGATGGTCCATAAACCCTTAGTCGCATCCTACAAACGTTCCCGAAAGGCCCAAGACAACGAAGTACCTTTCCGCTGATTGGGAGAGACTCGTCCCCAATAGGGCCAAACTTCAGCGTAAGGCCAGGGGACGTACATACAATAGTCGATGTGTACCTTGGCTCAGGGGACGTACGTAGTGACGCTCGTCTTACAGGACTCCGAACCCAGCAGGAAGCAGGGCAGCAGGCTTTAGGGGATGAATGTCCCAACCCCTTGGCGGAAAGCTAAGATCCTGACAGAGGCATTGTTGAACGCTCGTCTTACAGGACTTCGGACCCAGCAGGAAGCAGGGCACCAGGCTCCAGGGGACGAATGTCCCAACCCCGTGGCGGGAAGCTAAGGTCCTGGCAGAGGTAGCGTCGGACCCTCGTCTTATAGGACCCCGGACCCAGCAGGAAGCAGGGCAGCATGCTCCAGGGGATGAACATCCCAACCCCTTGGCGGGAAGCCAAGATCCTGGCAGAGGCATCGCCGGACGCTCGTCTTACAGAACTCCGGACCCAGCAGGAAGCAGGGCAGCAGGCTCCAGGGGATGAACATCCCAACCCCTTGGCGGGAAGCCAAGATCCTGGCAGAGGCATCGCCGGACGCTCGTCTTACAGAACTCCGGACCCAGCAGGAAGCAGGGCAACAGGCTCCAGAGGACGAACGTCCCAACCCCTTGGCGGGAAGCCAAGGTCCTGGCAGAGGCAGCGCCGAACGCTCGTCTTACAGACTCTGGACCCAGCAGGAAGCAGGGCAGCAGGCTCCAGGGGACGAACGTCCCAACCCCTTGGCAGGAAGCCAAGATCCTAACAGAGGCAGCGCCGAACGCTCGTCTTACAGGACTCTGGACCTAGCAGGAAGCAGGGCAGCATGCTCCAGGGGACGAACGTCCCAACCCCTTGGCGGGAAGCCAAGATCCTGGCAGAGGCATCGCCGGACACTCATCTTACAGGACTCCGGACTCAGCAGGAAGCAGGCCAGTAGGATCCAGGGGACGAACGTCCCAATCCCTTGGCGGGAAGCCAAAGATCCCGACGGGAAGCGCATTCAATGCAGAAGATTTGGTGGTTGGGATCAAGCCATCCACAGCCCACCACGTCAACGCATCCAACTACCAAATGGCAGTATAAATAGAAGCATTTATTTCATTGTAAAGAGTTCAGAACTAAGTACTCTAATAGTATAACATTGTAACAGTTCGTAGCATAGGCTAAAGACGAATGGCCTCAGGCCTTTGTACCGAAATAAATTTACTAAGACTTCTTACTGGGCCTCTTCTTGCCTGTTTTTACATCTACATCTCCATTTCTTCCATTCAAAACCCTTGGGTCGTGTGTTGGGCCTACGGGTTGACGGAATAAATCTCAATAGGGTCAAATAAGATTTTTTACTATTATGAATTGGTCACATAAAATCATGTATTGAATAAAGTGTCACCTTGATATGGCTAATAGTAAAATAGTGGATTGGTGTTCGAATCTGGCGCTTTGGATACAGGTTGTGGGGTAGGGGGAACCACACGTTTTTCTGTTGTTGCTAGTGTTGTTACAGATAAATCTATCAGGACTAACTCTTTTGTGAGACCATGTCAATGATATGGATCTAGAGGAGATGAGTGAGTATTGAACTAGGATATGCGCTTTTCGATCCAATTTTATCATGAGAGTGACATCTCTCGGGTGTTGCTAGATGGTATGTGGCCTTTTGATCAAAATTTAGTAGTTATCAAGACAATTGTTGAAACGGCTGATAGACTTCTAGAGATGGAGTTGGATCATGCAGAGTTCTAAGTACATATACACAACCCGCCTCTCAGTTTTATGACAGAAAAAGTGACAACAGGGACTAGTGGTTACTTAGGACCACAGTTGGCCCCTCCCTATCTATGTCCCTGTTATGTACTAAGGTTGTAAACGAACTGAATCGAGTCGAATAATGAGATTTTGTATTCGTATTTGTTTATTTTTTTCAAATTCAAATTCAAATATGAAATGAATTCAAACACTGATACACTGTTTAACAATATTTGATTAATATTCGAATCGAATACACTGATATTCTTATTTGTATTTGATAAGAACTCGAATCAAATTAAATATTCCTATTTGTATTTGTGTTTGAATTTTCCGAATTCGAATCGCCTTATACGAATTCGAATCGCGAATCGAGCACAAATTATTTGATTCATTTACAACCCTATTATGTACCCTCTAGTGCAACATTTTATACGGAGTATATGTATATTTTGCAATTGAATAATTTAATTATAAATAAGAAATAATGTTTAAGTCCAATCAAATGAATGATATGTACTCCCTCCGTTTCTGAAACAAGTTCCACCTTTCCTTTTCGGGCAGATTCAAAATTAAGTTCCACTTTCAAACATTTTCTTATTTGGCAAATTATCTACATCAAAACAGTGTCAAACAGTGTTCAAACAGTGCCAAACAGTGTTCAAACAGTGTCAAACAGTAAAGTCAAATTTATTTTCTTAATATGTGTGAAGTCAAATGTGGAACTTGTTTCAGAAATGGAGGAGTACGATATTTTTATTTTTTATTGATATCGTAACATTTACTACCTCTTAAAAGGGAATTAAAAGTAAGATTTTATATAAACATCACGTACACTACGTTGTCCGATCTGCATATATGTACTACAAAATATTTAAGTGTACATATTTAAAAAAAATTAGCTAGGTACGGTTTTCAGGCCTTTATTCAATTCGTTTCAACGTAACCCTCCCGTTTTACTTGAATACTTGTATTAAAAAGAGTGAAAATGTGAGAAAAAGGAGTACGTACGTATTACATGCATACAAAGTTCTCCCTCCGTCCCGTTGGAATGTTCCCGGTTTGACCTACACACATATTAAGGAAATAAACTTATCACAGGGTAAATTTTATTGTTTTGACACTATTTCGACACTGTGTGACACTATTTTGCACTGTTTGACCCTGTTTTGATGTAGGATAACTTTCAATTTAGGGAAATGGGAACTTTCCAACGGGACATCCAAAAAAGGAAAGCGGGAGCATTCCAACGGGACGGAGGTAGTATATAGTAGCAATCGATTTGAAAGTAGCTAATATATTTTTGGGGGTTCAAAATATATTTTTGGGGTTCAAAATATTTTTTGGGGTTCAAAATATTTTTTGGGAGGGAGAAAATTATTTTTCATATATATATATATATATATATATATATATACACACACACACACACATACACTAAAAAAATCATCTTGGGAGGGAGAAATATTTTTTGGGAGGGAAAATATTTTTGGGATTCAAAATATTTTTTGGGAGGGAGAAAATTATTTTTCATATATATATACTAAAAAAAAATTCTTGTTGGGGGGGGGGGGGGGGGGGGGGGGGGGTTGCCCCCCTGCGTCTGTCCTACGGTCCGCCCCTGTACCTAATACAACGA